GACAAAATGACCAGCCCACAGGTGCTGGGGCCAGAATGGAACAGCTTTGGAAGGGAGAAGTTGGGGTGGGCAGCCCACAGAATGTCCCTGTTTGACACAGGTGCATCTGTACCACCTGTGAAACTGTCCCCTCAGGTCTGGGTGCCACAACATGCCTAGGGCACCAGGTTACCTGGCTGGAAGTCAGCCAGATGTAGGGGACATAAGGTGACCCCAGAATTAGGCCATACACAGAGCTGGAGCAATGTTCTGCTTGGGTTTGAATAGCATGGCTGGAAAATTTACAAAATGGAGAACTAAATTTGTTCCTGATCCTGGATTGGGGAAAAGCCTGTCCACAGGTCACACTGAGGGGGAGGGAGATGTACTTCAGGGAGCACACCAAGGCCTCTGAGGGGGTGAAAAAGAGACTAGGGTAAAGAAGCTCCAGCAGGGTAAAACGAGGAGCCTCAGGCAGATGTCCCAGGCATGAGGTCATCTGGTTGGCTGCGGACTCCAGGGCCCAGCCATGCTCTATGCAGTGTAAAATGGGCAGGTGTGCACACACACTGTAGACTCCTGAGTGCTGCAGACAGGAGGTGAGTTCACACCATAGGTGTGAAACTAAGATATATAGAACACCAGGTGAGTGTCGGGCTGTGGAGCAAGGGGCAGGTCACAGTTCTCAGTGTCATAGTATTGAGCATACCCTCAGGCCCTTGTTGGGGGGATATATTCTAGGCTGTCACTCTACCCTAAGCCACGCCCCCATCCACTGCTGGGGGATTCTAGGCCACTATACCCAGGATCCACATGCCCCATATGCTGGATAGCTTTAGTGTCAACTTGACACACCTGGGTTGAGGGAGCCTCAGTTGGGGAATTTCCTGTATTGGACTGGCCTGTGGCCATGTCTGAGGGGCATCTTCTTGATGAGTGATGTGGGAGGGCCCAGCCCACTGTGGGTGGTGCCACCCCTGGGCATGTGGGCCTGTGTTGCATAAGAAAGCAGGCTGAGCAGGGGCCAGGGGAGCAAGCTAGTAAGCAGTGTTCCTCCATGGTCTGTGCTTTAGCTCCTGCCCCGAGTTCCTACCTTGGGCTCCCTGATGAACTGTGACCCGGGAGATGTAAGATAAATAAACCCTTTCCTCCCCAAGTTGGTAGTGGTCAGAATGTTTTGTCACAGCGATGAAGAACAAACTAGAACACCTCAGTTCCTACTGGGGGATTCTAGGCTTTCACTCTACCTCTGAGCCACACCCCAGCCCCTCACTGGGGGACTCTAGCTGTCACTCTACCCTTGAGTTGCACCCCAGGCTGCTCACTGGGGTTTCTAGGGAGGCGCTACCAGAGCCACACACCTCTAGCCCCTCATCTGACTGACGTTCCTAAGAAAAAAGAAAGTACCCAAGGATTGAGGGGAGACAGGACCTGTGGACAGTAAGTGCTTTGAGAAGAGGTGCCTATATCCTGGGACGATGACTGAGAAGAGGCCCTGTCTGACAGAGATGAACACAGCACTCCATCTTGCGGTGGCACAGGCTTCTCACTGCACCTATTTCAGGAGGTTGAGGCAAGTGGACTCCAAGTTCCAGGCCAGCCTGAGTCATTTCCGGAGATCTTGCTGAAACTAAAATAAAAGGGCCCAGCTGTAAAAGAACCTCAAAGCTCCAGGCACTAGCTCTAATCCCTAAAGGATGGGTGAGATGGTCCTCTGCAAGATTTTCCAGTGGCTTCATCGCTGAGCCATCTCTCCAGTCCAATAATTTCCTTCATATGTAAAGTTCTCCAAGAAAACAATAAAGTGGGTAAAAGATGAGAACAGGAGCCTGGAGTGATGGCACACACCTTCGATTCCAGTACTTGGAAGGCAGAGGCAGGCAGATCTCTATGAGTTCAACGTCAGCCTGGTCTACAAATGAGTTCCAGGCCAGCTGTGGCTACAGGAAGACCGTCTCAAAAAGACCAAAAAAAAAAAAGGGTGGGAGGACAAAAAGACCCAGGAAATACAAGTGACTTTTACTTTGCTTTTTCTTTTAAAAAAAATTGGGGGGCTGGAGAGATGGCTCAGCAGTTAAGAACATTGTTCTTGCAGAAGACCTGGGTTCGAATCCCAGCACCCACATGGCAGCTAACAACTGTCCGTAATTCTAGTTCAGTTCCAGGGGAACCTACATGCAGGGAACCTCAATGCTCATACACATAATTATTTTTATTTTATTTGTAAGTGTATTACTTGCATATATGTAAGTGCACTCATGTTGTGCAATTCCCACGGAGGACAAAAAAGGCTGTCGGGTCCCCTGGGACTGGAGTTATGGACAGTTGTTAACTGCCATGTGGGTGCTGGTATTCAAACCTGGGTCCTTTGCAAGAACAACCAGTGTTCTTAACTGCTGAGCCATCTCTTAGCCCCTATCCTTTCTCTTTTTTTAAAGACAGGGTCTCCCTGTAGCCCCAGCTGCCTTGGAACTCACTATACAGACAAGGCTGACCTTGATCTCACAGAGATCTACCTCCCTCTGTCTCCCAAGTGCTGGGATCAAAGGTGTGCAACACCACACCCTGACTTATTTTTATGTGTATGAGTGTTTGCCTGCATGTATATAAGTGCACCGTGCATATAATGCTCCTTCAGGCCAGAAGAGGGCGTCAGATCCCCTGGAACTGAAGTTACATAGGGTTGTGAGCCATGTGGGTGCTGGAAACCAAACCCAGGTCCTTTGCGAGATCAGTCAATGCTCTTAACTACTGTACCATCTGTCCAAACTACAAATAACCTTTTTTTGTTTTTGTGCTAGCCTGGAACTCATTATGTAGACCAGGCTGTCCTTGATCTCACAGAGATCCACCTCTGCCTTTCAAGTGCTAGGATCAAAGGCATGGGCCACCATGCCCAACTCCACAAATTAGTTTGTTTTTTTTTTTTTTTTTTTTCGGTCTTTTTGAGACAGGGTCTCCCTGTAGCTCCAGCTGTCCTGGAACTCACTATGTAGATCAGGCTGGCCTCAAACTCACAGAGATCTGCCTGCCTCTGCCTCTGCCTCCTGAGTGCTGGGATTAAAGGCTAACAGCGTGCGCCACCACGCCCAGCCTCACTTTTCCAATTTTAAAATGATTATCAATAGGAGACCCTGTCTCAAAAAGACCAGGAAAAAAAAAAAAAAAGCTGTAGAGGCTGACAAGACGGTTCAGTGGGTAAAGGTGCTTGCTGTCAAGCCATATGGTGGGAGAACTGACTCCAAAGTGTGTATGCTGACTCTAGTCTGTCATGCCAACAGTGAAGAGGCTAAGGCTGTAGTCAGTTCCAGACTAAGCTCAGCCAAAGAGAACCTGTCTCAAAAACCAAAAAAAGGCTGAGCATTCCCAACATTCCAGAGACAGAGGTAGGTGGGTCTCTGTGAGTTCAAGGACAGCCTGATCTACATAAAGAGTTCCAGGTCATCTGAGGCTACAGAGACCCTGTCTCAAAAGAAAACAAACCCCAAAAGCTCCCCAAAATCCAAAACCAACCAACACAACAACAACAAAAAAACACAAAGGCTGAGGCTGAGTGGGTAAAGTACTTGCCTAGCATGCACCAGGCCCTGGGTTCATCCCCAGCACTGCATAAGTCAGGTGTGATGGTAGACACCTGTCATTCCAGCAAGGAGGTGCAGGCAGGTGGATCAGCTATAGACCCTGTCTCAAAATAAAAAGAGGACTGGGCCTATGGCTCAGTGGGTGGAGTACTGGCCCAGCATACTGAAGTCCTGAGCTCTCTGATCAGCACAAAGCAAACCCAGATAACCAAACATCTGTTTCCAACACAGAGAAACTGGCTGACTGGGCCTGGGGAAGAGGAAGACTAGAGGATGTAGACCCAGAGATCCACCTGCCTTAGCAACCCGAGTGTTGTGATTTAAAGGTGTGCACCACCACACCAGCTCCTTTTGATTTTGTGTCTTTTTGAGATGGGTTTCCTTGTAGCCCCAGCTGTCCTGGAACTCACTATGTAGACCAGGCTGGCCTTGAACTCACAAAGACCCGCCTGCCTCTGCCTTCCAAGTGCTGGGATTAAATGCGTAAATTACTACACCACACTTCCTTTGATTTTTTGAGACAGGTATCTGCAACCCAGGCCGGCATGGAATTCGTGGCAATACTCCTGCCCCCATCTCTTGAGTGCTAGGATGACAGGCTGGGCCACCAGGCTGGTCTTCCTTATTGTATTGGTGGAAACATTTTGTGCCACTGTATGCAGCAGCTTTGACTCACTGCACAGAGCTCAGTGTGGAGTCCAGCACTGGGACCAAGGGCGCTCTAATGGCGCCAAGCGTGGAACTTTAGGGCTTGGCCGGACGGAGCGCTGGGCAAGGGGACAGGCGGAGACAGGGAGGAAGAAACCCTGCGGTGGGGCTGGGGAGGAAGGCAGATACGATGGGAAGCAAGCCGGGCTGGGAAGAAGCTCCAGCATATGCAGATGGAAAGGGAGTCAGAGCGACCTGCACTCACGTTATTTCCGCCCGCTTGGTGGGGGGGAGACACAGCCACACCCCAGTATCTTCCCTCTGCCCCCAAAGGTACCACTGGCCACTTTTAAAGGGCCCTCAGGCTGAGACCAGAAAAGGGCAGCACAGGATGACAGGCCCTTCTCCACCCCAGGGTCAAAGGGAGGGCACCTTGTCCTGACTGCAGGGCACACTGTCCCGGGAGGCTCATGGGGGGGCGGGGGCACAGGAGCTTCCTGCTTTTTATGGGGCAGCCTCAGTTTCCCCGTTCAAACAGTGGGCAGCCAAGCCAGTGTTCTTGGGTCTATCCAGCCCAGCACCTGGGGTGGAGTCCACAGTCCAAGCTCCCGCAGAGCAGTCTGTGCCCACCAGGCACAAGGCACATGCCCCCCAGACCCGCCCTGGAGTCGGGGTGCAACCCCTGTTGGGGAGATCCTGAGGTCTTCCTCCACTCACAAACCCCATACGCAGCAGGTGCAGGCTGGGCAGGGCTCCCCCAGGCCCCAGGAGGACGCACCCGAGGCAGCCAGGGTAACTAAAATCTTAAACCTTTAATGCGTTCCCTCTCTTTCCTTCTCTTGGCTTCCCCGAGGAGGAGAGGGGTCACTGCAGCCTGGTCGGTCCAGCTGGGAGGGTCCTGGCTCGGGGTCACATGCAGCCCCCGCTGAGGTTCAGGCCTAAGCGCGCTGGCTGGGCAGCTCCTGGGAGATGAAGTGGCGCAGGCGCTCCAGGTACTGGCTGTACAGTTCAATGTCGTTGTGCCCGGCGCCCTCCACCCACAGTGGCTCCACGGCCTTTGGACAGCGCTCGTACAGCGCCAGCCCGTGGGAGAAGTCGATCACCTCGTCTTCCGTGCCGTGGATGATGAGTACCGGAGACGAGATCTTGGACACCTTCTCAATGCTATGGGAGAGGAGTGTGAAGTCTGGCCCCGCCCTCCAGGCCCAGGCCCCGCCCCAGGCCCCCGCCCCATACTCACTTGGGGAAAGCATCAAAGCAGTAGGTTTTCTTGGTATCTGGGAAGGCCACGCGCATGCCCGAGGTGAGTGGCGAGTGCAGGACCACGGCTGCGCACTCGTAGCGTGAGGCCAGATCCACCGTGGGCACCGTGCCGATGCTCTGGCCATACAGGATGATGCTGTCCGGGCTGATGCCATACCTGGCAGACAGCAGAGCCAGGGTCAACAGCCCCAGGGTAACCTAGCTCCAACCACACACAGCACAGCTAGGGTGATGGGTGCCGAAGCCAGGCGGGCTTCCTCAGGATCAAAAATTCCCTTCCTTCCAGCCCTGCCTCCCCACCCCTTTGGGACTCGGGGAATTTAGGAAGCTGTGTCCCTAGATGTGTGGATGTATCAGCCCAGTTTGAGCTCCCCTGAGTCCCTTGTGCCCAATTAAAGTTTCAGCACAACAGGCTAAGGCTGGTATGTAGTTGTAGGAGTCCTGGGAGCCTGCCCAGCTCCCATACCTCCCTCCGAACCCAGCAGATCAGTGAGGTTCCTGGCACCCCTGTGCTGGTTCCCACCAGCAGGGGTTAGACCACCCTGTACTGAGCCACTTGTACTGCTTCTGACCCCTGGCTAAGATCCACCAGCTCTACCTGGGCCTGCCTGGCGATGCAGCCCCTACTGCAGCCACTCAGCACCATTCCCAGTTCAGCTGAGATTTGACTATCACAGGGGAACCCAGACCTCTTCCCTCCTCCTCTCCAGACTCTCAGGCCTGTGGCCCATTCTCCCACTTCTCCTCTCAGCTGTGCGGAGGGGGGACAGTGCGGTGGGCAGGACAGATGGACAGAGCTCAGAACCCACAGCACACAACCAAGTGACTCTGCAGGACCCTGACAGTATGGACAAGAGGGGGTAAACAGGAGGCAGGGTGTTCAGCCAGGTCCCCAGTGCCAGCACCAGTGGGGCCAGGGGACCCAGTGCCCTGGGCTGCACAGAGCTGCCTGGAGCATCTCCAAGGCAACCAGGGTCCCCACCTCCCCAGGGCTGTCAACTTCCCAGTGCCATACTAAGGCTCTGATGGGAGCAGGAGGGGCTGTCTCCAGGACAAAGGGTGGACAGGACAGCCTCTTCACCTTAAGGAGCCAGTGCAAGGCACAAATGGGGTGGCTCAGAATCTGGATGATCAGGAAGGCAGGGTGTGGGCAGAGTGGCCTCCAGGCTAAGGTCTTGAGTGCAGACTGGGCACCCAGACCCATTGACCCCAGCCAACCTGGACATCAAGCTGCTGACAGAAGCCTTAGGCCCAGATGAAAGTCCTTCAGCCCCTGCCCCAGAGCAAGCAGAGAGGACTGCAGAGTCCCAGCATCCCTGGCCCTCAGCTCCCAGGGCTGTCACCTGGTACGCAGGGCCTGCCAGGCTGCATCAATGTCTGCGTAGAGGTTCTTCTCCGAGGGCCGACCCGAGCTGATGCCATAGCCAGAATAGTCATAGGAGAAGATGTTGCAGCCGATGCGTGTGCCCAGGCCCACATAGAAGCTGCACATCTGGCCCAGGTCCACCGCATTACCGTGTGAGAAGAGCACCGTGTACCTGGGGTGCAGTTCAGGGGCAGGGATACAGGCTGACTGTCCACTCCCCAGCTAGTAGCTCTTATTGCCTCAGCCCCTGGAATGGCCCAGCTCCATCTCTAGGCTCCCATAGGGAAGGGTGTGTTGGCTGCAAACCCAGGCCAGACAGCCCTGTGCCCCAGGGGTATGGTCAGCAGGAAGGTCTTAGTTTCCTATCTGAAGGGGACACCAGGATAGACGGAGGTGGACCTATAGTCTGGCTCTAATTGCAGCAACCACTGCATCTGGCAACACTCCCACTGGTCCTAGGAACCACCAAGCAAGACCATCTACTGCTAGGGACAGCTGTTCCCCATCCCTGGCCCTCAGCAAATGCGTAAGATCCATCCTGTTACCAGTCTATCTATAGCCATATCATGGGGCCTACAACCAAACAAGGGCCTGTGCTAGGTCAAGGCCCAGGCTAGCTCTGTGGAGGAGGTGACTTCCAGTTTGCCCTTTGGACTCCAGTCAACACTTGGGAAGTCTGGTGGAGACCTGGAGACCAGGGTGGGGTAGTGACTAAGGTGCTGCATAGCCTATTCTAGAGTCTGCCCTAGGGTTTCCTGTCCTCTGGGAGGGAGGGCAGTGTGGCACCCATCCACCCCTGCCCTGACCCCTGGGGTCCCCGTGGCCACGCCCCGGCTCACCTGGCCCCGGGCACGCAGCGCACATACATGCAAGCAATGCGGTTACCGCGTGCGCTCTTGGTCAAGAAGACTTCGATGGTGTCCAGCTCGCGCTGACCGTACTGGAAGTCAGCGCGTTCTGTCAGATGGATCTTCCAGCGCCCTGGGGTGGCCGCTGAGGTCCGCGGGGGTCCCGAGGGGGCGGCGCCGGCCCCGCCAGATCCTGGCTCAGGTTCGGGTACCAGCGAATAGGTTGACTCGGGAGGCAGGAAGGCGAGCTTGGCGGCGATGCGGCCAGGGCAGGGCGGGCAGCAAAAGAGGCAGCAGAGCTCACTCACCGACAGGCCGTTCATGGCGGGCGCCGGGCCCGCGCAGGGCTAGGGGTGGGGGGGCTGGGATGCTCCAAGGCTCGTGGGCCGCACACCTCAGCCCCGTTAGGAAGCCGCGGCCCGGCCCCATCGCGGTCCAACGCCAGTCCCCAGGAGCCTGGCAGCCACAGGGCTCCATGTGGTGCAGTGGGGAACCCTGCGGGGGGGGGGGGCGGTCACGAACATGTGGGTTTCCTGCAGGGTCAGTGGGAAACCCTGTGGGGGACACCAGAATGGGGGTTCCCTGCAAGGTACCTAGACAGAGAGGGAGGCTGTCCCCACATCCATGGTCTATGGTAGTTCTCTAGGCTGGCCCACAGGCCAGGTCCACCCCGCACAACAGGAAAGAGTCCCAACACCCCTCTTCAGCCTCTTATCCCCAATTCCTGCCATGTATGCCCTACCCAGCCCTCAACAGCACCCATCTCTCACCCCCAGATCTCTACAGGGACCCTTCTTCCTGCATTCTTCAAGGTCCTCTCAGCCAGGGGCAGGTAACTCAGGAAGCCCTAGGTGTGGAACTAAAGTGACCCAAAGGCTCCCAGGCTCCCACACAGAGGTACAAGGATCACAGGGTCTTGTACCCTTCTTGTCTACCCTTCTTGTAGAAAGAAGCCAGGGGAGGAAGCAGACACAAAGGCCAGGAACAAAGGCCAGATGCATATCAGACTCAGGGCCCCACTGGCTAAGACAAGCTCCCACCTGTGTTTAGGGCCCTGCCAATGTCATGAGGTCAGGAAATGTGTTCAACTGACATGGACTGGGTGGCCAGAGCCACATGCCCTGTCTACCAAGCTGCCCAATGGACAAAGACCATTCCAGAAAAGCCACTGATGAGGCCTACCCTCACCACCCTGTGGGAGGGCAGCAACATGCACACCTTGGTTTCCCCAGGACACCCATACACACCGATGCTGGGTCACAGCATGTTAAAACCATGGGGCCAGAGGGACACGTGGCATGCTAGCAACTGTGAGCCCATGGATTGGGGAGAGCTATGTCCAGGTCATAGCGATTCAAGGGACAGGGAAAGGCACTGTGACAACCAGGGCAGGTATAAAGATGATAAGGAGTCCCTAATCCTAGGTGGCAGCTCTCAGGTGGAAGGGAGCCTGTCCCCAAGGGACACAGGCCATGTCTGGGGACCTGTAGCTGTCATAACTGGGTATGTACCTGGTATGGAGTGGGTGGAGGCCAGGGATTCTACCTAGTACTCTGCACTGCAAGACCCAGAATGGCCCCACCAGAGAATAACCCTACCCCAAGTGTCCACAATGTCAAAAGTCAGCTTCACATACGCTCAGGACTCACACACCTGATTCCGGAGGACTTGGGGCGGGGGTTCTGCAGTCTAGGAGGAAAAAAGTTCTTGGCCACCTGAAGATAATAAGGTAGGACAAGGCCCCACTACCAAAGCCATAAAAAAGGCTGTCATCACTGACAACTCCTCTGCCCTCCAGTCCCTTCCCAGGAATCCCTAGACTGGCTGGCTCCACCCACTAACCCCAGCTTCACCTTTTCCCTACTGTACTCCAGCCTTCCTGTCTGACTCTCACCCCAGACACCTTCATCCCTCACCTGGAAGGTCCCCCCAACTACCCTGAGACCCTTTTCTGCAGCACACACTGGAGGCCCTACCTCCCTTTTGGGGGTGTCCTCACTCTCCCTAGCCACAGCCTATCAGGTATACAGATGGGCTCAGCCAACCTCCTGGGTCTCATCTTGCAGTGGGTTTAGCAGACAAGACACACAGCCCCCTTGCAAGTAGGGGGTTTCAGTTTCCCTCCTGAATCGGCCAGTGCTTTATGTCAGCTGCCTCTGCGAATTCTAGATACATATGCAGCATACCTTTCTACATTTAACCACACAGGAAGGATCCCTAAGTGCCTGCTTTCATTCAATGACTGTTTGCTGAGTGGCCAGAGGTAAAGATTAAGTCACAGGGAAAAAAGATGTAAGCCATCCTGGATCTGCCATCGTTAACAGGGAAGGGACATACAGCACATTGGACCTTATGTCACAGATGATCTGAGTGGCACATAAGACAATGTCATTCCCAGCACCTAGAAACCCAAGTACCATCACCACAACCAAGAACCAGGCCCTGGGTTTAAAAATCAACCAGGCTACTGTAAAGGCTCTTGGACAACCTACATGACTGCTTTGGAGGTTAAGTCTACCCCAGCCAGTTACAGGGGGGAGGGAACCAGCTTAGAGGAAGCACAGGCTGAGGTCAAAGAAAGTAGCCAGAGGGGTGTGATGGCACAGGCCTTTAACCCTAGCACTTAGGAGGCAGAGGCAGGTAGATTTCTCTTGAGTTCAAGGCCATCCTGGGCTACGTAGTGAGTTCCAGAAGAGCTGGGGCTAGAGAAACCCTGTCACAAAACACACACACACACACACACACACACACACACACACACACCCCAAAGAGCCAGGAGAAGGGCCAAAGAGAGGGCTCAGCAAGTAAAGGTGCTTCCTACCAAGCTTAACATCCTGAGTTCGATCCCAGGGACCCAATGGTGAAAGCAGAGAAGTGACTACAGCAAGCTGTGCGTACAAGCGCGGGCGCGCACGCACACACTAAACGTAAAAAGGAAAGTAGCCAGTTAACAGGATGAGACAAGTAACAGGATGGGACAAGTATCAGTGTTCCTCATAAACCTCTGGATGTGGCAGAGGTTTGGGGATAACTGCGGCTGCCAGCTAAGGCAGCGCAAGCAAGAAAAGGGGGCAAGGGCCAGGTCAGGCTGCACCTTCCCCTGCAGAGTGCGGGGAGCCGCGAAGCGCTGCTGGAGTCCCAGCTGGCCCGAGCCGCCTGCGGATGTGGGAGCCGGGATGATGGAGGGGAGGCTCTGTGGCGGCGGGGCCCGGAGCGCGGCCAGGTTCGCCAGGTCCTCCCGGAACGGAGTGATCGCCCGGGATAGCAGCACGGAGCTGGGCCGCAGGACCGTAGTGCCGCCCGCTGCCGCCCCGAGGAGCAGGGCCCTCGACCCGGATCCCGGCCCCGGCGCGCACTCACCGCTGCCCGCGCCCGCAGGCCCCCGGGCCGTGGTCCATGGCTCCAGGCCGCCCGCCCGCCCGTCCGTCTGTCCCTCAGGACCCCGGCCCAGCGGCCTGAAACACCGCTGCAACCGCAGCTACCCCGCGGGTGGAAGTGAGCCTCTCTCCTAACACCGCCCCGGAAATGACGAAGAGAGGTTGCTAGTACAAAGGGGCAGCCAGAGACTTGGGGGCGGGGCCTGGGCTGGTGGGAAGCGAATTCTGAGTTGGTGAAAGGGAGGGGCCGGGGTGAGGAGTGGCCTGGTCTGGGGCGGGGCCTCTGCGAGACCGGGCCTAGACCAAGAGACTGGGACACCGCTGGGGACGGGGTCTCTAGGAGGCGGGGTTTGGACAGAGGGCGTACCATGGGCTGGGGACCGAGCCTCTGTGAGGCGAAACACGGATGTACGGGAGTAGACTAGGGGCGGAGCCTCGGCGAGGCAGGGCCTGGGCAGAGGGAGGGGCTGGGGTGGGGCGGGGCCACGGGTGAAGAGACATTGGTTCTGGGGTCCGAGCAACAGGAGAAGCTGGGTCAGGAGCCCGGCCACCTGGGAAGAGAAGGATTATGGGGGGTGGGGGCTCTTCTGGGGGCGGAGCCATGGTTGCACTAGATTCAGCGTTCTAGTTTGGTGCCTAGAATGAGCGCAGGGCAGGGTTAAAGCGCAGCAGGATTGTAAGGGGTCTGGGCCTCTGGGGTTTAATTGGCCTAGGGGCAGGTTCTAATGTGCAGGCCGGACTTGGGTTGGGGGCAGGGTAAAGCTGAGAGCATTGGTCTGGAATCAAAGCCTGGTCTGATAAGGGACCAAGGCTGGACAGGAGCAGTTTGGTCTAGGGATGGGGCCTAAAATAGGCAGAATCTAGTTAAGTGGGCAGGGTCTGCACTCCCAGTTGATTTTTTCAAATGAGACTCCTCAATTTTTTTTTTCCAACTGCGCTTGCCCCATGTCTCTCCGTGGGATTTTTTAATTACATGTATTCATTTGTGTGTATGTAGTGGACATTGCTGTACCACTGTGCATGTAAGGAGGTCAGAAAACAAGTAGTCAGTTATTCTTTTCACCATGTGGATGCCCATGATTGAACTCAGGTCGTCAGGAATGGAGGCAAGCCTCTGTACACACTCACCAGGCTCACCAGCCCTAATTTTTTTGTTTTTGAGACAAGATCCTATTCTGTAGCCAAGATTGACCTAGAACTCCCTATGTACCAAGCCTGGCCCTCCAATTCACAGCAATCCTTCCTGCCTCAGCCACCAAATTATTAGAACAGACATGATCCAGTATTTCCAGCTGAGTGAAATTATTTGGTGGGGGGGTGTGGGGACAGCCTGTCATATGACCCAGGCTGACACTGAACTCCTTGATCCTCTTGCCTCAGCTTCCTGAGTGCTGGCATTATGGGTGTGCAGCATCACACACAACTTTATATTTAATGCCCTATAAAAATATATCATGGGGTCAGGCATGGTGGCACACACCTTTAATCCCAGCACTCAGGAGGCAGAGGAGGCGGATCTCTGTGAGTTCGAGGCCAACCTGGTCTACAAAGTGAGTTCCAGGTCAGTTTGGGCTGTCTCAAAAAAAAAAAAAAAAAAAAAAAAAAAAAAAAAAAAAAAAATATATATTTAATTTTAATTATATAATTTTAAGAAAATATATATACATATATATATATGTATATATATATATATAATTTCATGGGACTGGAGAGCTAGTAGATCACAACCATCTGTGACTCTCCTTCTAGGGATCTTATGCCCTCTTCTGGCCTATGAGGGCATTGCACACACATGATGGACTTGCATACATGCAAGGAAAAATACTCCTATTCATAAAAATAAATTTTAAAAATGTTTTAAATGTATCATACATTAGGACAGAGAGATGGCTCAGTGGGAAAGCCTGAGGACCTGAGTTCAAACCGTGGAGCCAACATATTAGAAGGAGAAAAGAGAATCTCAGAAGCTGTCCTCTAACTTCCTCTTGTGTAGGAATATCTTCAATGATGAGCCACTCCATCTTGAAGGAAAATTCATTAAGACATGAGAACTAAGACCCAGGATATTCATGGGGACTGGACTCCCCATCCTGCAAGAACTAGAGGTTAAGCTCAGGAAACAACAGCTTCAGGAAGCCCCTGAAACTAAACAGGTCACCAGGCCCCTCTCTCCCCAGGTGATTGGAAGACCTAAGGACTGCTGAGGGCCACTCTCAAACCATAGCTGCCTGGAAGAGGCTCAGATCAACTGAGCTACCTGGAAGGGACACAGAGACACATTCCAACCCTGTGTATGCAGACCCTGGAGTGAGCTCCCGGTTTCCTGAGGTATCACTCATGCCAGAGTGAGCTTTGGGAAGATTCAGTTGTCTGTGAGACATTTCTGCTCCTGCAAGTAACTCACCTAGACTCCTGTAAGGAACCCCAATAAATTCATTGGTTTAACAAGCTGGACTTGGGTGGTATCCTTACTTTGGTCTCTTGTTAGTTCCCTAACTGGGGTGAATAAACCTGTGCTGCTGTCTCCCTAGGAATATTCTCAAAAAACTCCACTAACATACTTGTGGATACACATAGACACTAAATAAATATAAATAACTAAATAACTAATAAACTAATGGAGACCAGCAAGATGCCTTAGTGGGTAAAAGCACCTGTCACCAAGCCCCATAATGACTTGAGATCGGTCTCCCAAACTGGGATCCAGGAAGGACAAAACAACTCCCCCCAAAACGTCTTGAACACACACACACACAGACACAGACACACACACACACAAACTAACAAAAAATATTACATGTAATTAAAAAAATTTGGGGCCAGAGAGATGGCTCAGCGATTAAGAGCACTGACTGCTCTTGCAGAGGACCTGGGTTCAATTCCCAGCACCCACATGGTGGCTACAAACCATCCTTAACTCCAGTTCTAGGGGAATCCGAAGCCCTCTTCTGACCTCCATGGCATTGCACGACATGGATGCACTCACATACATGCAAGCAATCTCATACACATAAAATAAAAATAATAAATATTTTTTAAAAATTTGAAGTCTGGGGGTCAGGCATGGTGGCACACACCCTTAATCCCAGCACTTGGGAGGCAGAGGTAGGTGGATCTCTGTGAGTTCGAAGCTAGCCTGGTCTACATAGCGAGTTCCAGGTCAGCTGTGGCTACAGGGAGACCCTGTCTCAAAAAGACCAAAAAAAAAAAAATTTAAAGTCTGGAATAATGTTGCACAACTTTAATATCACACTGGGGAGGCAGAAGCAGGTGAATCTCTGTGAGATTGAGTCTAGCCTGGTCTACATATTGAGTTTCAGGCTAGCTGAGGTTGCAAGGAGATTCTGTCCCCATCTGTCTTAGTTTGTTCTTCATTGCTGTGACAAAACACTCTGACCAGTACCAACTTGAGGAGGAAAGGGTTTATTTGGCTTACATCTCCCAGGTTGCACACAGTTCATCAGGGAGCCCAAGGTAGGAACTCAGGGCAGGAACCTGGAGGCAGGAGCTGGAGCACAGGCCATGGAGGAATGCTGCTTACAGGCTTGCTCTCCTGGCCCCTGCTCAGCCTGCTTTCTTATGCAACACAGGCCCACCTGCCCAGGGGTGGCACCACCCACAGTGGGCTGGGCCCTCCCACATCACTCATCAAGAAGATGCCCCTCAGACATGGCCACAGGCCAGTCCAATAGAGGCAATTCCCCGATTGAGGCTCCCTCAACCCAGGTGTGTCAAGTTGACACTAAAGCTACCCAGCACACCATCTCAAAAAAAAATTGAAAATAGGGCCAGGTGCATCTTTAATCCCAGCACTCAGGAGGCAGAGGCCAGCCTGGTCTACATAGTGAATTCCAGGTCAGCCAGGGCTCTATAACCTTGTCTCAAAAGAAAAACAGCCAGGTGTGGTGGTGCACACCTTTAATCCCAGTGCTGGGGAGGCAGAGGCAGGTCAATCTCTGTGAGTTCAAGGCCAGCCTGGTCTACATAGTGAATTCCAGGCCAGCTGGGACTACAGGGAGACCCTATCTCAAAAAGACCCCCAGAAAAGAAAACAAAACAAAATTTAAAATAGGAAGGCTGGAGAGCAGGCTCAGTGCTTAAAAGAGCACTGTCTGCTGTTACAGAGGACCCAGGTTTGGTTCCCAGCACCCAGAAGGTGGCTAACAACCATCCTTAACTCATTCCAGGAGATCCAACGCATTCTTCTGACCTCCACACTGACATACATGCAGGTCTAAGAAACATTAAATATTAGTCTTTTCTTTCAAACCCTGTCAAACTTTGTTTTTGATGAGGAATTCTAATTTTTTTTTTTGTCTTTTTTGAGACAGGGTCTCCTTGTAGCCCCAGCTGTCCTGGAATTCACTATGTAGACCAGGCTGGCCTCGAACTCACAAAGATCTGCCAGCCTCTGCCTCCCAAGTGCTGGGATTAAAGGCGTGCGCCACCACGCCCAGCCTAATTTTTTTCACCTGTAAGACTTCTGGGTTTTTTTGTTTGTTTGTTTGTTTGTTTTTTATGTGTATGCATGTTTTGCCTGCAAGTAGGTAAGACACTTCTGTTTAAGAGAAGGCCCTCAAGCATCCCTGGACCTGACAGGCTGGGCCAGTGTAGCTCTCCCCCTCCTTCCATTGCTCTGGGTTTTTTTTTTTTTTTTTTTTTTTTTTCTTGAGACAGAATCTCACTCTGTAGGCCAGGCTATCCTGGAACTCACTATGTAGACCAGGCTGGCCTTGAACTCACAGAGATTTACTTCTTTTCCCTCCCAAGTGCTGGGACTAAAGTCCTCCCTCACCACACCTTAATGAAACTGAATGAATGATTTTTAAACTCCACCCCAGCACTGTAGATAGCCAATGTCTGCACTGTCCCCTCCTCCACTCCCCAGAGATGAGCTGGGGCTACAGGGACTGTCCCCTCCACAGGGCTTTGTCTGCCAGCTCTGCCTCCACACCCAGGGCTATCCTGGTCTACCCCTTGCCAAAGCTGTTCCTTAAGCCTCCTAGCACCTGTACAAAGGTCAATTAAGCTGTTGGTCTCTGCTCCCTAGTCTGGTGATTTCCTCCAGGACCATGTCTGTTCCCAGCCCCCTTCCTTCAAACCCCTGTATTCCTCCAGGGCACTCCACCCAGATCTCCGAAGAGCCAGGGCTGGTCCAGCCAGAAAGCCCAGCTCAGCCTGGAGTGATTCCTTGGGGGATTAAAGTTGACATTATGCAGGGGGCCACAGAAGAGTTGGGATGGGTCTCAGCTCCCCACTAAAGTGTGTGTCCTGCCCCCTCCCCTCACAAAGTTCCCCCACCTACTTTGTTCCCCTGCTTTGTACAATGAAAAGCCAATGTTAGAACTGGATACAGCTTCTCACATGGAGGTAGACACAGGAGGATCTCTGCCAGTTCAATGCCAGTTAGAACTATCTACGAAGACCTTATCTTGAAAATAAAATAAAGGTCTGGGTATGGTGGCACATGCCTTTAATCCCAGGACTCAGGAGGCAGAGGCAGGCAGATCTCTATGAGTTCAAGGCCAGCCTGGTCTACGTAGTGAGTTCTGAAAAATAAATAAATAAATATATAAATAAATAAAGTAAATAGGTAAATAAATAAATAAACAAACAAAAAAACAAGGGGCTGGAGAGATGGCTCAGTGGTTAACTGACTGGTCTTGGAGTGTAGGACCCTGAGACCCTCTTCATTCACCCACTACCCCCCAATCCCTCCAGACCTCCACTAATTGCTCTTTTAGCTTCTGTAAAAATGCTTGGCTGTTGCTTTAGACATGCCTAGACATGCCTAGACATGCCTTGGCATGCCCACCTGCTGCTCCCCCCCACTTCCAGGAAACTATAGATTAAGCAAGCCCGGGCATGAAAACTGCCCTATAAGGTAAAAATAGAGACTCCTGGCCCCACAGATAACAGTCAGCGCATTCCACAGCCCTGAGAACAGCACCCACCAATAAGAAACCTCCAAGGCTACATCCTATACATCCAATCAGCTTAAAAGTATTTTGGCGCTGGCAGGCTTCTTGGACCAACCACGATGTGACACTGTTATTCCCCTCCTCCCTTTGTCTATAACCTATAAAAAGCCCCTTCTTCCCTCGCCCTGGGCTCTCAGCACCTATTCGTTGAGTTGGTGAGGTCTGAGAGCCCCAGTTTAAGCCCAAATAAACCATAAACCTTTGCTTTTGCATTTTGGTGTGTTGGGTCCTTGGTGGTCTTTTTGGGGTCCAGTGGATGAGGTACAACAGGAGAAGACCTGGGATCGATTCCCAGCACCCACATGGCAGCTAACAACTGTCTGTAACTCCAGTTCCAAGGGATCCAACAGCCTCTTCTGTCCTCCAAGGGCATTGCAGGCCATGGGTGCACTTACCTACATGCAAGCATAACACTCATACACATAAAATAAAAATAATAAATAAAATATAATTAATTAATTAAACAAAAAATCTCCAGTTATGATTGGACATATCTTTTTTTTTTTTTTTTTTGATCTTTTTGGGACAGTTGCACACATCTTTAATCCCAGCACTCAGGACGCAGAGGCAGGAGGATCTTTGTGAGATTGAGGCCAGCCTGGGCTATGCAGTGAATTCCAGGTCAGCTGGAGCTACAGGGAGATCGAGTCTCAAAACAAAGCAGAAAAAGAAAACCAAAACTAACAAAGGGGTGACGGGGAGAGAGCAGAACGTAAAGATGCTCTCAGCATAGTCTGACAATCTGAGTTTAATCCCAGTTTGCTCCCACCAGTTGTCCTCTGACTGCTAAACCCACGTTGTGGTATGTGCATACCTAACCCACATTCCTAACACACACAAAATAAATTTAAAAATCCTGCCAGGTGCAGTGGTGCACGCCTCTGATCCCAGCACTTGGGAGGCAGAGGCAGGCAGATCTCTGTGAGTTCAAGGCCAGCCTGGTCTACATAGTGAGTTCCAGGACAGCTGGGGCTACAGGGAGACCCTGTCTCAAAAAGACCATTAAAAAAAAAAAATCCACTACTGGGGGACTAGAGTGATGGCTCACTGGTTAAGAGCACTGACTGCTCTTGCTGAGGACTCAGGTTCAATTCCCAGCATTCCACATGGTGGCTAACAACCATCTTTAACTCCAGTTCCAGGAGATCCAAAGTCCTCTTCTGGATACCATGGGCACTGCACACATGTGGTGTATTTACTTACATATATGCAGGTAAAACACTCATACACATAAAATAAAAATAAATAAATATTAAAAAACTGCTAGCTGGGCGTGGTGGCACATGCCTTTAATCCCAGCATTCAGGAGGCAGAGGCAGGCAGATCTCTGTGAGTTCAAGGCCAGCCTGTTCTACATAGTGGTTCCAGGACAGCCGGGGTTACAGGGAGACCCTGTCTCAAAAAGACCAAAAACAAAAAACAAAAAAACTGCTTAGGGTATTGGCACACACCTGTGATTCCAGCGCTCAGGGGGCAGAGACAGGCGGATTTCTGTGAATTCCAGGCCAGCCTGGTCTACATAGAGAGTTCTAGGCTAGCCAGGGCTAAATAGTGAGATTCTGTTTCTAAAAAAAAGAGCAGAAAACATCCACAGAATTAACAAATGTTCACAAAACTGAAGAGGGGAGGGCTGGTGGGGGAGCCAACTTTGTAGACTGAGAAAGGATTGTTTGCCCACAAACCCCCTTGCTCAGAAGACATAATAGTCTGTGATCACTTGACAGATAGTCTACTATCTGATGTTTGAAAGGGGTCCCCATAGTTTCTGCCTCTCCCCTCGTTTTTTTGTTTTTTAGACTGGGTATCAGGTATCATGTAGCCCTGGCTGGCCTGAAACTTGTTATGTAGCCAAGGATCACCTTCCTAGTGCTGAGTTGACATGTGTGTTACCACTTGGTTTATGTGGTACTGGGGATGAACCCAGGGCCTCAGGCATCCTAGGCGAGAACACTTCCCACTGAGCTACAAGCACTCTACCCACTGAGCTATGAGCACTCTACTCACTGAGCTATGTGTTACTGTGGATGAGCCCAGGATCTTATGCATGCTAGATTAGAGCAATGTGCCCACTGAACTATAAGCACTCTACCAACTGAGCTACAGATCCAGCCTTTTTTATTTTCTTTTGAGACAATGTCTCACTATATGACCCACGATGGCCTCAAATTGGTGATCCTCCTGCCTCAGCCCAGGGTGTTGGGATCACAAGCATGAATCTCCTGTGCCTAGCTTTCCTGTGCCTTCATGAAAAGCTAGTTCCAAATTTCAAGGGGAGAGAACCAGAGCCTGAGCCACAGCCACAGAGAGGAAGAGAGGGAGAGGGATAGATAGATAAAGGCCTCAAACAAGCCAGGAAGTGGTTCCTGTAGAAAGAAGGCAGGAAGTGGGGGCATCTTAAAATAGCACCAGGGCAAGCTGAGCAGAGGTGGAGTTCAGGTGGCCACTGGACCAGAGAGGAGGAAGGCAGCAACTCCCCCAGATGTGTTTCTTAAACCCAGGCCCTCTTGTCCCTATGTTCTTTTTAATTTAATTTTTTTGGCTTTTTGAGCAGGGTCTCCCTGTAGCTCCAGCTGTCCTGGAACTCACTATGTAGACCAGGCTGGCCTTGAACTCATAGAGATCCGCCTGCCTCTGTCTCCTGAGTGCTGGGATTAAAGGCATGCGCCACCACACCCGGCCAATCTTCTCCTTTTAAAAAAATTTTTTAAATTTATTTTTACATGTATGAATGCACTGCCTGCATGTGTGTTAGTGCACCCATGTCATATGATGCCCAAGGAGGACAGAAAGGGTATTGGATCCCCTGGAACCAGAGTTATAACAGTTGTTAGCTGCCTTGTGGGTGCTGGGATTCGAACTTGGGTCTTCTGCAAGAATAGTCAGTGCTGTTAATCGCTGAGCCATTGAACCACCTCTCCAGCCCAGCTGTCCTCTCTTTTGGTCATCAAACAGAAGGTCTTGGAACTGGAGATCCGGCTCAGTGGTTAAGAGCACTGACTGCTCTTCCAGAGGACCTGGGTTTCGTTCCCAGCACCCACATAGTGGTTAACAAGTGTCAGTAACTCCAGTTCTAGGGGTTCTAATACCTTCTTCTGGCCTCTGCAGCATTGCACCACAAGGTTATTCAGTTATATATATTAATACAAAACACAGTCATACACACAAAAATATTTAAGAAACAAAAACAGGGGCTGGAGAAGTGGTTAAGGGTTGTTAAGAGAATCTGCTATTTTTCCAGAGGACCTGGTTCAATTCTGAGCACCCACATGGCAGGTCTGTCACCCTCTTCCAGCCTTTGGGGACACTGCACACATACCAGTATACATACAGTCAATCAAACACTTGTACAAATAAAAATAAATCTGCCAGGGGTGGTGGTACACACCTTTGATCCCAGCACAGGGGAGGTAGACACAGGTAGATCTCTGTAAGTTCAAAGGCCACCCTGGTCTACATAGGGAGTTCAGGCCGGCTGGAGCTACAGGGAAACCCTGTCTCAAAAAGCCCTCCCCCCCAAAAAAAATATCTAAAACAAAACAAAACAAAACCCCAAGGCTCCTGAAGTATAAATAAATACCACTGAACCACACTCCCAGTCCCTCACTGGGGGACTCTAGGCTGTCACTCTACCTTGAGCCATGCACCTGAGCTACAGAGAGTGAGACCCTGTCTCCAACAGAAAAAGAGTGGGCTGGAGAATTGACTCCGTGGTTAAGCACTTGTAGTAAGCCAGGCATGGTGGTGCAAGTCTTTAATCGTAGCACTGGAGAGGCAAAGGGAGGAGGATCTCTGCGAATTACAGACCAGCTTGGTCTACATAGGAAACTCCAGGTCCTCTGGGGCTACAGGGAGACATTGTCTCAAAATACATTATAAAACAAAAAGCTGCCCAGGCATGGTGGAACACACCTTTAATCCCAGTACTTGGGTGGCAGAGGCAGGTAGATCTTTGTGAGTTTGAGGCCAGCCTGGTCTACATAGTGAGTTCCAGGACAGCTGGGGCTACAGGTAGACCCTGTCTCAAAAAGAACAAAAAATAAATAAATAAATAAATAAATAAATAGAAATAAAACAAAAAAGAGAATGGACTGCTCTTGAAGAGAACTAGAGTTTGCTTCCCAGCTCCCACTTCAAGCAGCTTACAACCACCTACAACAGCAGCTTCTGAAGATCCAATCACATCTTCTGCACAGGCCTGTGAACATAAACACACAGAGACCCAGACACATACACACAAATCTAGGAAGTACAGTCCTGACCTAGAATCCCCCAGTGAGGGACTGGGGACATGGCTCAGGGGTAGAGTGCCAGCCTAGAAACCCTCAGTGAGGGGCTGGGGGCGTGGCTTTGTGGTGAGAGATTCCCTAGCAATTTTGGGACCCTGAATTCCATCTGCATTTAAGTCAAAATAAAGAAATAGGGGCTGGAGAGATGGCTCAGTGGTTAAGAGCACTGACTGTTCTTGCAGAAGACCCAGGTTCGAATCCCAGCACCCACATGGCAGCCAAAAACTGTCCATAACGCCAGTTCCAGGGGATCCAACAGCCAGCCAAAAACTGTCCATAACGCCAGTTCCAGGGGATCCAACAGCCTCTTCTGTTAACTCCGTGGGCATTGCACAACAAGGGTGCACTTACCTACATGCAGGCAATACACTCATACACATAAAAAATAAAAATAGCCAGGCATGGTGGCACACTTGGAAGGCAGAGGCAGGTGGGTATCTTTGAGTTCAAGGCCAGCCTGGTCTATATAGTGAGTTCCAAGACAGCTGGGGCTACAGGGAGATCCTGTCTCAAAAAGTCCAAAAAATAAAAAAATAATAAAAATAATAAATAAAATATTTTAAAGAATTAATATAAGATTCTTGGTAACTCTGGTAAGGTGTGGTGAAAAAAAAAATTTTGTTTCCTTCAGGCTTCCTTGGCTTACAGGTCCCTCCTGGAGGCAGGACACAGCAACTGTAATTTCTGGTTGCCAGGGCAGGTCACATACACACTAACCTCTCCCCAGCTATGTATCTTACAGCTGCCCAGGAAGAAGAATTCCTGTCTAGCTGGCATGTGATGTAAAATTTTAGTACCAGCACTTGGCAAGCAGCGGCAGGTGGATCTTTCTGATTTCAAGGATAGCCTGGTCTACATAGTAAGTTCCATCCCTGTCAGGGCTACCAAGTAAGACCGTGGCACACACACAAAAAGATAATAGATAAATAAAATATTAGTTAAGGGAGAGGGGAGAGGAGGGGAGAGGGGAGAGGAGGGGAGAGGGTAGAATCGTCCAAGACCGGCTTCAATCCAGAACCATTCTGGCTGACATGCCCTAACCGGTTTCCATGTCCAGGCTCTTTGACTTTGGTCCAACCACTCTCTGCACACTTGTTTGCAGATCAATTTGCCTGCACTATGAAGACCCTTAAAACATGCCGGTGGCTGAGCACTTGGATGGGTCTATTGCTCTGGGTGTCTTCCTCATGCCTCTGTTCACCATGCCTAATACTTGTCTTTACTCATTATAACACCCTATATTTTATTTTTCACTTTGTTATTTTTGATTTTTTTAAAAAAGAGTTTTTTTTTTTTTTTTTTTTTGAGACAAGGTCTCGCTATGCAGCCGTAGGTGGCCTGGAACTCGCTATGGAACCAGACTGGCCTGATCTCAGAAGTCCTCCTGTCTCTGCCTTCACAGTGCTGGGATTCAAGGCATGCGCCACCACGCACTTCTGCGTCATTTTCCGCACTCTGCTGACGGCTCAAACGTCAATCACGGTCCGAGTTTCCAGTGGCCATATGTGGGCCTCGAATCCGTAATGTCGGGCTTTATACCCCAGCAGCGAAAGAGTCTAGGAACACCAAGGGAGCCATTTTGGATGAGGTGACGTGTACCGGCTACACGAGTGGCCTTCTGGGGAGAGTAATCCAGGCCCCACCTCCTCATCACGTAGGCCCCGCCCATAGAACTACGCTCCCATCGTGCCCCGCGGCGGCAGGCGGGGTCTCCCGCTTGCTAAGACTTGGCGAAGCGCGGAGGTCGCGCGTGTCCCTCAGGTGAGCAGGCGCCGTGGGGTCTTGGTTTCTATTGTTCCTGTGTCCACTTCATGGAGGCTGGGATGGCGGACATAGGCCCCACCTCCTCATCACGTAGGCCCCGCCCATAGAACTACGCTCCCATCGTGCCCCGCGGCGGCAGGCGGGGTCTCCCGCTTGCTAAGACTTGGCGAAGCGCGGAGGTCGCGCGTGTCCCTCAGGTGAGCAGGCGCCGTGGGGTCTTGGTTTCTATTGTTCCTGTGTCCACTTCATGGAGGCTGGGATGGCGGACATATCCCTGCGCTGGAGGGCACGCGAGGCAGTGCGGGGGCGGATGGCGGGGGCG